TCGCAGCCTGGTACTGTCAACCCCCCGAGATGGGCCAAGGCTCTTGGTCATAGCATGGGCAGAGCCTCTGCGGCCTCAAGAGCAGCTGCCGGCACCTGCTTTCCTCTCTGACCGTCAGGGGAACCAGGCGGTTGTTCAGGCTGGGCCCGTCCAGGTGGGAGGATGGGGACAGGAGCGGAAGTCCCGCCCCTGCTCCACTTGGCCAGTCGTGGGTCCCCCAGGGGTTGCAGTCACACAGAGGGGTAACTTTTCCTAACTCACTTAAAGGCGCCACGTGGGTGGCAGGGGCGGCCCTGCCAAACATCAGCTTCTGCCTGCAGCCGCAGTCAATAATGGTTGTCTGAGCTGGGCCATATTTTCAAAATAAGAAAGTTTCCCTTCTCTTGGCTGGAGTGTGGGGGCGAATTTCCCCCAGCATGGAATAAGATGCAATAAAGATACAGTTCACGGGACAGCCTTGCTGGTGATGCTTCCCCTCATGGGAGAGCAGGTATGGGATGGGGTGCTGGAGCCAAGCTTTGAGTGTGAATGCTGGTGTGCTGTGCAACTTTGGGCACGCTATGTGCTGTCTCTGTGCCTCTGTTTCCTCATCTGCATAATGGGGACCATATTAAACCTACCTCCCCGGGTGCTTAGAGCCATGTCTAGTTCACATCGTGGTGTGTGCATCAGCTCTTATTAGCTTTTATTCTTTCAAGGGCCTATGCAGGTGAAAAAAAAATTCTCTCCCAAAGATAAAAAGAACTGCAGCCTTTCAAGTGAACAGAGCAGTTAACTAAATGTCTGCAACCTCCAGCACAAATGCAGCTCAGCTCTTGGGTGGTGATATGTAAATGCTTCCTAGTGTGCGATGAGGGTGAATTTTAATGTTTGATAGGGTACAGGTGTGGCCTCCAGGTGCAAATGTCAGGGCCCTGTCAAAGAATCGCATGGTGTGGCCCGTGTGGCCTGTCACTTGGTTGGTGCCAAGATGTATCGTGAGGGTGGGGGTGGTGGAGTTGAAAAACAATGCAATTATAAGTTTTTCCTGACTTACCAAACAGGTATAGTCTTTCATAAATTTCTCATCCAAGTACCAAATTGGGAACAAAACTTTGATTCTAAATTTTTGAAAACTTAAAAAAAAAAATGTCCTACCTTCTATTGTAGTTTTCCCAATATATACAAAAATAACTCCACATGTATTCATTGTCCACAGTTGCTTCATCTAGCTCTACTCCATTTCTTCCTACTTTCCTTTCTCTTCTTCCTCCTTCCTCTCTTCTTCTCTCCCTTTTTTAAAGCAAACTCCCTGTTAAATAATCCCCATGTTATTTCACCCCTAGATCCTCCCATATGTAGTTCTAAAAAAGAACATTTTCTTTCATAATTACAACAGCACAACAGCACCTAACAGTGTGAAATATAATGGGAATTCATTTTTTTAATAGTGGAAATTACAAAGGTCACAAAAGAAAATTGACCGTAATTCTGAGGAACATCAGTTTGCATTTTCCTTAAACTTTGGGACCTCCCTCCTGATGACAAGGTGACACTCGCTTCCTGCGTCACTTTCCCCAGCTCCAGCCAAAGGCTTAGAGTCAAAAGCCCAGAGCCATTATTTTTTTAGAGACTCACACATACATAAACAGCATGCCCAACAATTGCTGGGAGATCACTTGGATGACTTCTTCTGGCAACATAATAGTCTAAAGTCTAAAGAAAATCTCAAATACACAGATCCACTTAAGTATCTCACTTTAAAAATGAAGGCTCAAGTTATAGCATGGATGGCGAAACCACCGCCCACAATTCGGAGGCATTTGCCAAAATGTCACAGGACAGGACTTCCATGTTCAAAATTGACCAGACCAACTTCCGGAGTTTGGGAACTCAGATGATAAGTCTGTGCTAACTGTGTGGTTCTAGTACCTTCTGGGTTCTTGAGTTCAGATCACACTGGAAGACTTAGGAAGCTCTGAGAAGCTGTCTCTGAAGACAAAGGCTAGTCAAGGATTGGAGCTAAAGATTGCCGGCTGTTTTTCTATTCCCGGGGACCAAGTGCTTCACGTACAAGGGCTGACTTTGAATACCACCGTCTTGATCTGGGCCGCATATGGGAACCAATTATACTATCATTTACTCATTATCTTTCTTTAAGTTGACTCCCTCTTGTTTTTACTTAAATACTTACTTTAGTTTTGTCCTAAGCAAGAATGTCTGCAAAATCACAGGTTTGATGTTACTAATTATATATGTTTTCTAATATACCTCAACATAAATAATCGCTAATGAGATGAAAAATAATTGTCTGTGCACTATCTAAAAGCCATCTCCACGTGCCACTCTGCACAGAGAGACAGATTCAGCAAAGATCCTTCCTTGTCTTGTAAACTCACCGGATTAAACACTCTACTACTTGTGACTCAAAGAAAACTCGCCCACTGACCCCTCAGCCCCAGCTGCCATGCCTGGTGGCTTCCTTACAAAACCTGTTCTGTAGGTTTCTCCACTGCTGCGTCTAGGATTATATAGGTCTCTCTCCCAGAAATAGCCTGACTTAGGCCTTGCCAACCCAGCAGACCCCAAACTCAAAGACGGCAGATGTGGCCACAGCTAAGAGAAAGGCCTTTCTCACTTATTTTTTCTTTTTAAATGTCCTTTTAAAAGAGAAACAAGCATACATCTGGCCTTAGGCCAGCAGGCTGAGCCTTGGAGGACCCGTCTTGTCATGAGACCAGAATGCACCTGGTTTGTCATTTCTTTGTTCACCTGGTGGCCGGGAGCCACAGTTGGGTTTGAGAGGTGATCCCAACTCCTCTGCCTGGCTTCTCTGCATAGACACAGATCCTCATGGCAAGAAACCTTGAATATACAAGAGCAGAAGGATTGGACAAACCATAATACGGGCACAAAATGCAATATTGGGGAGCCGTTAGGAAGAATAGTTAATTACTTTTGTTTAAAAGAAACCTGTGGGCTGGGCACGGTGGCTCACACCTGTTATCCTAGCACTCTGGGAGGCTGAGGCAGGTGGATCGCTCAAGGTCAGGAGTTCGAAACCAGCCTGAGCAAGAGAGAGACCCCGTCTCTACTATAAATAGAAAGAAATTAATTGGCCAACTAATACATATAGAAAAAATTAGCCGGGCATGGTGGCGAATGCCTGAGTCCCAGCTACTCGGGAGGCTGAGGCAGCAGGATCGCTTGAGCCCAGGAGTTTGAGGTTGCTCTGAGCTAGGCTGACGCCATGGCACTCACTCTAGCCTGGGCAACAAAGCAAGACAAGACAGGATAGGACAGGACAGGACAGGACAGGAAAGGAAAGGAAAGGAAAGGAAAGGAGAAATCTGTGAATTTATATGTGTCTATGCATAGGAAAAACATTCAAATGCCATTTAATCAGAACGTTTATAGTTATTATATCTGGGTTGCAGGCTCTCAGGTTATTTATTAAAATATTATTATATTATTAATAATTGTTTTACTTGTGTTTTGTAATGTTCTTACAATGAATATATTGCTCGTATCATAAAAAATAAGTGAAAATACTTTTTTTATAGCAAAATGGAAAAAAAGCTTATGATAGAATGCTACTTGAAAAAGATGAGATGAGAAATGTTTGTAGAACAGCAGCAAATAGAGACTTTAAAAAAAGTTAAGCTTCCTGGAATTTAGATGCAAGTCTGGGGAACGGGGCCGGGGAGACGTTGGATTGGTGGAGCTAAATTTCTACTCTTTGGCAGAACGGGGCTTTGCAAAAAGAAGTTAAGATTCGAGGCACACTTCAGCTTGTGTTCTAATACTTGTACCTGTTTTCCAAAAATTTCTGTTACTTTTATAGTTTTTAAAAAAAAAAATTCAAAAAGAAACCAGAAGGGAGAGGTGTTCAATGGACCAGGAAAACCTGCCTCGGGCTTCCAGCAGCCTGACGGTTCTTTCTACGATTTCTGGGGAGGATCTCTCCTGTTCTCTCGGGGACAAGGGGAGCCAGCGATGGATTTCAGAGGAGGTGGCTGCACCAGAACTTGCGTTTCCTGGACGGCCTCTGTCTTCCAAACCCTTGTTGACAGAGTCTTAGTGCCGTGTTTGCTTTCCTTATTGCCCGACTACTCAGCGACACCAGGCTTTATCCTGTACGATCACAATTACATGGGAAAACACCTCGCCCACCAGGCCTCATGCCAGGAGCCGTGTCATCGTATCCTACAGGACAGATGACTTGGGGGTGCCAATAGTGAGCACCTAAGCCCATGGCCCTGCCTTTACCCAGCTGGAAGTGGCCACCTGCCCGGCGTGGGTGGTGCGTGTTGACAGCTAGCGAGGAAGAATGTGGTCAGTTTCCTTTGCTCCCTCCCTCCCTGCCTGCCGAGGCTGGAGGCAGCTCGGATGGTGTCTGCCAAGACCTGGAAGATACCAGAGGGGTGTGTGTGTGTGTGTGTGTGTGTGTGTGTGCGTGCATGGCGCCCATTCATGGCATGGGTAGAGTAGAAGAGGGAGGTGGTTGTTCCACTGGGAATAAAATGCAGTGTCCCTGGCTGTAGTCAGCAAAGTGAGGTCGATCTGATAATATTTTGAGGGACAGCCCTAGAGTGTCAGTGGGCAACAGGAATGACTCTGTTGTGATTAAAAACGTGAGCTTTGGAGTCAGACAGACATGGGTGAGGTCTTCACCCCATCTCTTACTGGCTAGGTGACCTCGGCAAAATCACATCACTTCTCCAAGCCTCAGTTGTCTCATCTGTAAATGGGGCCAGCACTAGTTCCTCCCTCCCTGGGTTTTTATTTTATTTTGGTTTGGTTTCAGTGAGGATTAAAATGAGATAATGTGTGCGAAACACCTGTCATTCTGTTGAATAGATGCTGGCTACTATAATTACGAGGGAGAAGCAGAGATAAAAACGTGTGAGTGGCTGCTAAGTATACATACTTATTTGCAAGGCTGCCTTAAAAAGGAAGGTTCTGGAAGGGGAGTTTCCCAGCTGGATCAATGAAAGATTTAGTTTTTGGCCTGCACTTACCAGAGGCTTAGCTGTCACCGTGTCACGGTCCTGTCAGAAACTTTCGATGCTTCCTGGTGTCTGCAGAATAAAGGCCAAACCCTTAGCTGGTGTTCAAGACACCTCACAACCTGGCCCAGCCCTATGTGTCTATACTTCCCTTCACCATGGGGTGGTGGTTAAGAACTTGGGTTTGAATCCCATGTCTGCCACTAATTCACTGTGTGACCTTGTGGAATTTGCTTGCCCTCTCTGTGCCCCGGTTTCTCCATCTGTAAAATGAGAGGGAAAAAGTACCGGCTTCACTGGGTTGGGTACGAAGATTAAATCGCCAATAGGGAGCGCCTACCACAGTGTCCGGCACAGACAGACATCAGTACCTGCCAGCAGCTGCTCTTTTGCTTCCCTTACCCACCTGGCCACACCCCAAATCCCACGGTACGCTGGGATTTCCCACCACCACGCTTTCCTTCACGCTGGTTCTCTGTCCTGGGGCGCCTTTCCCCCACAGATCCCCTATGCTTTCCCAGGCCCAGCTCTAATCCTTCCTCCTCCAAGAAGTCCTCAATGATTGGAAGTCATCTGCCCTCCTCCATAGCCCCATAATGTTTTCGGACCACCACCCCTTCTCCCATTTCACTTTTCCCATCTGGCTCCATAGCATGGCTATTTATGTCCCCTTCTTGATTATCCTATTGGGTGGGGAGCTTTCTGGACAGATTTCCCCATGCTTAAGCTTGGAGCTTTGCACATAGTAGGTGCTCAATGAACGTGTGGACTTTAGGGCTGGTGGGCAGGGTTGACACCCAGCCACTGTGCTCCTGGTATGGTCTCAAGAGTTGTTTTTGTTTTTTATTTGTTTTTTTTTGAGACAGAGTCTCACTTTGTTGCCCAGGCTAGAGTGAGTGCCGTGGCGTCAGCCTGGCTCACAGCAACCTCAATCTCCGGGGCTCAGCGATCCTGCTGCCTCAGCTTCCCGAGTATCTGGGACTACAGGCATGCGCCACCATGCCCGGCTAATTTTTTGTATATATATTTTTAGTTGGTCAATTAATTTCTTTCTATTTTTGGTAGAGATGGGGTCTCGCTCAGGCTGGTTTCGAACTCCTGACCTTGAGCAATCCGCCCGCCTCGGCCTCCCAAAGTGCTAGGATTACAGGCGTGAGCCACCGCGCCCAGCCAAGAGTTGTTTTTGGATGGAGGTTGTTTTGCCATTGGAAGGTGCCTTTGCCATTGGAAGGTGCCTTCCCCTGAACATTCTGAATGCCACTGCTTGTGTGTGCAGGAGCGAAGTGGGGTGGGGGGTGATGGTCTCCCTCCATCCACCTGCCAAGTAGAGCTCTGTTATGGGCTGAATTGAGTCCCCTCGAAATCTGATATTGATTGTATGCTGAGTGATAATATTGTAGATATGAGTTTCATGAAATAGATTATTAAAATTAATTTTATCTGCTTATTTTTACATTTTTTAAGCCAGTCAAATTCAGCAGTGTGTGTTTGCTTTTTAAGATGTGGCTAGTAAAAAATTTTAAATTGCTTATATGGCTTGACTTTGTGGCTTGTGTTATATTTCTATTGGACAGCACTGACCTAGAGCAACGGCTGGCATACAGTAGACACTTAAATATGGGTTGAATATCAGAATGAATACAGTTGGTGCCAAATAGATGTTTCTTTTGAGTATAAGCAAACGACTGTGTCGGCAAGGCTGCAAGGCAGTGGGGAGGAAGGCTGTGTCAGGGAAGTTTTATGCGACTAAATGATCATAATCAACGTCCAATATCATGCTGATAAAAGCAGCCACCGTTTGCTGGGCACTTAACACGTGCCAGGAACCGTCACGGCACTTCACACACAGCATCTCATTTCATCGTTGAGTCAGTCCCAGGAGGAACCATTGCTTCTGCAGCACGGATGGCTGCCCAAGGTCACTGCGCTGGTGAGTGGAGGGCCAGGGTTTGCACGGGGCTGTCCCAGCTTCCCCATACACCTGCCTCGCCGTGGCCCTGCTAGCATGTGGCACCTGACAGCCCTGCCTGGGATGGACAGCAGACACCGGCCCTGCACACACCCCCACCCACGGGCTAGGGTTCAGCCTGCCCCCACACGCAAGCCAGAGGGGCTCTGGCTTCCAGAGCAATAGGGAGCCCCAGGGAAGCAGCCAGCCCCTGCTCGCAAGGGTCCAGGAAGAGACTCCAGTAATCCACAATCTCCGATCTCCTTAAGCTTACCCATCCAGATCTGGTTGCCAGTCCTCTCAAGTTCAAGGACTCTGGGGAACCGGTTGGGGCCTGGGTGGTCATTCTTGTTCAAGGCAGTTGTGGCGGGTGGCTCTGGGCCCAGCCTGACCCGTGAGAGGGCCCTGCCCAGGTCTCTGAAGCTGCAGCAGCGGCAGCCGTCTGTGGGGTGTGGCTTCTCCCCTCCCACCCCTGTGGGCCCAGCAAGACCCCATATCTGGGCTGAAATCTATTTGAGCAGGGCCCCTGTGGTATCCAACGTGACACCTCCTTGGAGGGAGCCTTTGCTATAAACTGCACAGATCAGAACCCCTTGGAATGGGGAAGAGGTTTGCAAGGAACATACAAAAACTTCTGCTGTCTCTGGGCTCCAATTATGTCTTTAAATTGTGAGTCTGAACTAGAGGAAACCACTTGGGTCTGGTCAGAGAGACAGGTGGCTGAACAAGCCAACCAAGACCTGATTCTCTCGTTGAGAGCTGGGTGTCAAGGAGTCTGTCCTCAGGGAGAATGAAAGTCCTGCCATCTGGGGGGCCTCGGGGCACCCCTGCCCCAGGTGAGAGTCAACAGGGTCAGTGCAGAGCTCAGAGCAGTGGTTCTCGAAGTCTGGTCCCCAGACTGCCTATAGCAGCGTCACCTGGGAACTTGCCAGAACGGCCCCACCACAGGCCTCCTGAATCAGAAACTCCCGGGTTTTAACAAGCAGTCTGGGCTTATCAGCCTTCCAGGAGATTCTGGGCCACGCCACAGTTTGAGAACCACTGTCCCACTGCCTTACTCCTCCAAATATGACACCAGGACCAGCAGTACCAGCAGCAGCATCTTGTTAGTGACATAAAACTCAGGTCCCACGAGATGTACTGAGTTAGAATCTGCATCTTAAGACCCCAAGTGACTCGTGTGCATGTTACCGCTGTTCCTTTCTATTAAGTGAGGCCTCAAATTCAGATGCTTGCAGGGGCCAACCTGGGGTAGCAAATACATGAAGCCAAGTCAGACCTAGCCGATGACTGCCATTTGGAAACACAGGCTGAGGATGGCTAGCGCTTCCTATTATTCAAGAGAATCTGGAGACCCGGATAGCACAGTGAAATTTCCCAATGTAAAAATGACCCTGTGGGTCACACAAAATAAGGTCTTTGGGGCACTAGCTTGCAGTCCTGCCCATGGGTCTTGGGGTGAGAAAGATGCCTTAAACTCTGGGCAAGCTTTCTGAGCTATGAGAGGGACTTGTCACAGCTGTGCTTGGCCAGAGGCACATTGCAGAGACTCCAGAAGGGCTGCAGTGGAGGCTCCCAGACTCGGTTGTATAACGGAGTCACCTGCAGTTCTTTAAAAAATACTGATGCCCGGCTCCCACCCAGGTGTTCTGATTTACTTACTTAGTCTGGGCCGTGAGCTGAGCTTCAAGCTTTTAAAAAGTTCCCTAGGTGATTGGATCATGCAGCAGCAGAGTTTGGGAACCACTGAGCTAGGGCTAGCGTCGGCAAACCCTTCAGCAAAGGGCCAGACAGTCGTATCTTAGGCCTCGTGCACCGTCCGGACTCTGGCACGGCCACTCAGTGCTGCCACTGCAGCGGGGAAGCCGCCACGGATAATACGTAACTGAGCGCGGCTGTGTGTCAACACCACTTTATGTATGAACAGTGCATTTGGAATTTCACATAATTTGCATGTTGTCGTGAAATATTATTTTTCTCTTGATTTTTTTTTCCAACTGTGTCAAAACCATGCTTAGCTCACAGGCTGCACGAAAACCTGGCCCTCTGGCTATAGTTTGCAGACCCCTGGGCTAGAAAATGACTTGGGGGCACTGGGGGCCCAGATCGCCGGCCGCTGTCTCTTTCCCGGCGTTTGCCCGCGCAGCTGCCCCTACGCAGCCTCAGAAATCTCAGTAGCACTTGATTACGAAAAGGCTCTATTGACAAGGCCCGATTAAATATTGACTCCATCTGGCTCTGGGCCAAAGACTTCAGGCTGGGTCCCACATCCTCCGTCACCCTGGCGGGATTTCGGGAGCTGCTTTCCAATAGGTGACCCTGAGCCTCACCTCGCTGCCCGGTAATTTCATTGACCCTTAACATGTAGTGACTGTTGACAGTGCAGCTGGCACCGTGGTTACTGCGTTACCCACACCATCCCGTTTCCTTCTCGTGGCAGCTCTGCAAGACAGAGAGAGCTAGTACATGTATATATACTCATGTGTGACCAGCATATATCCATTTTTTAGTTGAGCAAACAGAAGCACAGAGAGGCCAAGTGATTTGCCCAAAGTCACTCAGTGACAGCAAGATTGAAACCATGTCTGTCTGATTCCAGAGCCTACTTTCAGCACCACTTTGCTATGCTGTCTCCTGATAATCTATAGAAAGGACAACCGCTAATCCACCACCATCACCGGTCACCACAATGCCCAGCACAATCTTCTCCAGGACAAGCCATAAGCAGCAAAACTGGGCTCTCTGTGTCTTGATTGACATCTAGAAGCCACTCAACCTTTCTCTGCCTTGAGCTGCAGCTGGAGCTGGGGCACCCACGACAGTTCTGCACCCTCTCCAGGAAGAAAGAAGCTGGCAGAGCAGCCCTATACGGTTGTGCAGGTTGGGCACCATACAACTCACAGCTCTAGGGGGCATCATTCATAATGTAGTTTGTGTGAATGACAATGACAACTCTGGAGTTGCGAAGCACACAGCCCCTACTCTCCTACCCCAGCTGTTCGTGGCAGTTCTGGAGGCTGGAGGCAAGACCTTCAGGGCTCCCTGGCATGGCATGGACTTTGGGTGCTGACTTCTACTGCTGTTCAGAAGCAAATCATCAAAAAGGGAGAAGGACCAAGACGGA